TAAACGACAGGAAGAAATCAACAAAAACAGTAGGGAAAAACATGTGTCAGAAATGTCTGACATATATATAGAAGAGAAAGAGAACGAATACACATGGATAATACCCTTATCTAGTCTTGTCTTATGTCACATTCTAGTAAATAATTGTATTGAAATTCGTGATACCAATGACATAAATCTATTTAGTGGGGATAAAATTTTGAAGCTATTCAAGTACTATTGTGAATACAATAGCTCGAAGACTGAAATAATGTGATTATTATTGTGTTTACCTAGTTTTTCTTCTAGATATATTATCGGAGTCAAGTACTTATTGTCTACTTTATTATGATTTATATTTTATTGATTGAAGAGTCTATCTTGAATTATTTCTATTAAATTAACTAGCTATTATTTTGCTTACTGAATGGAAAAATATATAATATCAAACTGAGAGTTTTTCTAGCATGTAATTAATAAAAGAATCATCTATTTACGCAATAAAAAGGCAACTTCTTTTTTGGGAAAGATGAATGACGCCTAAAAGTATGAATTTTTTGTAAATTTATTTTTTTCATACAAATAATAATTCTTTTTCAACACATGTAATTTAAGTATTATATTTTCAGTTATTTATTTCCTTGAATTTAAAAATAAAAGTTATATATATGAGTGAATTGCAACTTTTTGGTACAATTGATGCGAAAAAATGAAAGTAGACCTAGACAATTTCTGATCAGTGCATGTTATTAGACTCTATGCCTGTGCTACACAGTAAAAATTTCCCAACACTTTACCGCATATTAGCTGAGATATGACTTACTCAATGTAAATGTACCATAAAAAACGTTATTTTATTGAAAAACGTCACTCTACATTTTTCAGTATAATGTAAATTTCTCGAGAAGGGTACGAGATCCAAGGCTGAATTTTTTACCACTAATAGAACTTTTTGTTTTATATATTCTCTGAAAATTTCAACTAAATCTGATGACCCGTTCACGAGTTATAAATCAGACAATTTTCAAAAACAACGTCACTCTACATTTTTTTCCAGTATAATGTAAATTTCTCGTGAACGGTACGAGATCAAAGGCTGAAATTTTTACCACTAATAGAACTTTTTGTTTTATATATTCTCTAAAAATTTCAACTAAATCTGATGACCCGTTCGAGAGTTATAAAGCAGACAATTTGCAAAAATCGTCACTCTACATAATTTTCGAAAAAAACGTCACTCTACATTTTTCAGTATAATGTAAATTTCTCTTGAACGGTAAGAGATCAAAGGCTGAAATTTTTACCACTAATAGAACTTTTTGTTTTACACATTCTCTAAAAATTTGAGCTCAATCTAACGACCCGTTCGCGAGTTATGAATCAGACAATTTTCAAATTGTCACTCTACAAAGTGAGTAAAAATCTTTTTTTTTTTCGAAAGTTCGTTTTTTTTGTTTGAAATAAACTTGATAAGAGAGAACCTTTTTACATCAGTTTTCTAGTTAAAGTGTTGGCTTTCTTTTTATATCATCCGCGCGCTGCCAGCTCTATCATAGGCTGAGCTAGAACTGTGTTTGTGTCACTCTACATAAAAACGAACAAGTGTCTGTTAAACAATGCGACCAGTAGATGAACGAATCAATGAAAATTCAGACTAAAATTAGTTACATATTTCGATAGAGCGTCAAAAACTGTACAAAATAGGTTAATTATATCCTTTTCCTCTTGCCTCTTTATAGTCGAAAAATTTCCTTTTCTTAGCATATGTCATGAAAAAATGACATTTTTTCATCATAAATTTTTTATAACTCAGCAATAACATGAGCTACTGAGCTGAAATTTTGCACCGCAGTGAGGTGTTTCAAGCACTATAACATATCAAAAAATCGTTGAAATCGGCTGGCGCAAACTCGAGTTATTAGCGAAATACATCAAAAATCTAATTGTACCAAAAAGTTGCAATTCACTCATATACTCATATATAATATATTTTATAAATTTTTTAGAATAGAGTTCATTTTTCATGATACAAAGAAAATCAAAAGTCTTTTTTTCTCGTTTATAACGTGTAAATTATTTGATCTATTAAGATTAAATAAATATTATTCTATACATTCATAACTTCAGTTTCAGCTATAAAGAGAAAATGCACGCTAATCTTTAGATATTCTTCTTCAGCTTGGTAATTTTTGTTATATACTAATGTTCAACGAACATTACTGAAAAAACAATTTATCACTTCAAGAAATTCTACATAATCGATAAGCATCAGATAAGAAGAATAGATATCAGTACTTTTCACAGAAGTTATCGTGTTAATAAATAATATATGAACATATATAACACTTCATCATTTATTGAGAAAAATCATAAAAAACGATACACAATAGATGATAATACTGGCAAGGGAATATTTCCAGGTATCGAAACACATTTCAGTCGGAGTTTCACGCATCGTTTAGTCCATAGTGAGTTGTGTCTATAATAAAATAAATTTGAGTTTCTGATTTGTCTCTGAGAAGATCAGCCATTCGTACTTTGACAGTTGTAGCGGTCCTACTATCACTCATGTAAATACGAAATACAGAGCTAACGCAGCTAAAATGAAACACCTGACGTTGCTGGATGAATTATTAGCAAAAAGTCGGGTGAAGCACGTTTACATGGGTGATAAAAGAATCACAGTACTTGTAAAAGTGTGAGTGCCTAATCTCCTCAGAGACCCAGACTTATTTTATTATAGTTATAACTCACTATATAATCTACAAGATGCATGAAATACCGAATGAAAAGCGCTCCTATACCTGAGAATGTTTTCTTGTAAGTTCAGTAGAAAAATGATAACTGATTCTTGAGCATATCATTGTATTTGTTAATTGTCAATCAGCGAATTATTACATCAAATGAAAATTCTCTATTCATTTGGTTATTTTGTTGTTTTTCGTTAACCAAAGCGTTTTCTGGTGTAATAATTTGTACTGTATTTAAAGTAACGGTATCATTCTTTATTGTTTCGTTGTCTAAACTAGGTGAATTTGGTATATTTTCGTATATTGGTTCGTCTTGATCTTCATTTGATATAGTAGTAGAATAACTCGAATCATAAATAAAGGAAACTACACCATGTGATTCTGTTTCATACTGAGGACTTTGATACTGTGTTCTAAGATCGATAGTTAATTCAGGAATATAGTTAATGTTATGAATAGTAGCAGGAAATATTGGTGTTTTCTTTAATTCACGTAATATATTGTTCCATTCTTGTATATCATTTTTATCAAAAGGCTTAGTATGCCAACGTGCTTCACATAATTTTGGTGTTAATTTATTCAATGTCTTGCTTACTTCCAACATATGTTTATCTAAAGCGTTAAAAAGTGTTCGACGAGCAAGAACTGCTGTGTATCGAATACGCGCTATAGCCTGTTCTTCCCATCTATCAATTATAGCCATTGATGGATGAAATTTGGGTCTTGCAATTCGTTCTAAAATATCTTCTTTCAAATCATCATGATTGACAGTTAACCAATCAAGTTGTTCATCAAGTAAATGACGTTCATGTTGATCAATATCTTGTGAACGATGAATTTGATCAAACGTATCGCATTTAATACTTGCATCTTGATTATGATCAGGAGAACTCATTGGAGATGATAAACACTTAGTAAATAATTGAAAATATGACTGCTAAAATTAAATAAAATAGAATAGATATAATGTTTATGGAAGCACTTTAAAAGCATCTTTATTATATATTTTATTAAAAACAAAATGCATTTGATGGCAACAAGAGTCAGATATATAAAAGTCTATGTCAATCTTCACGTGTCGAAAATAAATAAGATTACTCATAAAATTAAACAAAATCGTTACCTTGCTTAATCTATCAAATATTTTACTAGTAATAAATAAATTACAATGGTATTTATAAAAGAATACAAAATCAAACGGACTTATTCTTAATCCTATTTGTATCATATTATCTTAATCTATGGATGATTCATTATTCTCTTTCATGTTCTTGAATTTGTATGATAATGTGACAACATATTATAAGCAGATTTTTCTATCAATCAATGTCGAAATATTATATATCGCTTATCTGTTATGTACATCTTCTATCAAACATAATAGTATGAATTGAAGTGTATAATATTTCATGAATGACGTATAATTATTTTTGAATATTTTACTTACGTTATCAATACTATATTTGGAGTTTTATAATTTTCTTATTGCTCTCTTAATGAATAGAGTGCGAAACAGTTATTGTAATGTATATGAAAAAAGTATTATTTATACAATAAACCCACGTGTAGTATAGGCCTTTTTTTTCTCTCTTTCTCTAAATATATACAACAAGAAGAAAATGCTTTCGTTACAAGGTTATTATTATTATTTTAACAATTATCTATATATTAAGAGGATATACGGTAAATATAAGTCGATTATTTAAGAATAACATAATCACAGCAAAAATACTAGTAATTTATATGAATGCATCTTTTAAACAATAACATTTTAATTTTGAAAAGTGTAAAAAATTTGGAAAACAAAAGTGATTGAAATGAATTTGATATGTTATTATATTATGCTGAATATTTGATGGGCGCAAACAAAGTAACTTTTCTTTAGTTCTGATTCAGATTATGACTAATATTTCTTATTTTCCTATACATAAAAAATCAGAATAAAAAATTATACAAAGATACACTATAATACGTAGATTGAATAGAGATGTGACTATACTCAGCAGATTTATAACAATGAATAATCTAATAAGATCGATATGGGCACATGAAATGCGTTGTACGATATGAGAATATACAACAGATGGTGTTTTTTAAATCAATACATTAGAAATATTGTATTGCTTTCAACATGACTGCGTCTATATTGATTTCAAACTGTTCTTCGCTTTTATCTATATACATCAAGAAGAATGTTTGTTTGCTTGTTTCTTTGTTCGGTATGCGTTCAGTCCCTGTAATAGCTAGCGTCATCAAACTTTCCATGACACTTCCCTAGATCTATGAGAAGGTCGAGAGGGGATGAAAGATGGATGGTGAACCTATAATTACCTATTGATGTATTTGTATCGGATGAACTTACTTCATTGACGTTAATTGAAAAAGAGAGCAAAGAAAGAAAAGAAAGTCTATATTGCACATCTATAAATCAATCGTGATAGCCATATATCTAGTCTATGGACTTGCTCAAGTCTCATGTGTTCATCTGTCGTGTTTGGGAGCAAAATCATCATCTAATCCGTAGAAGATTAAAATGTATATCGACTCAATCTTGTTGCACTATCGGAGTTCACTTGATTTCAATGTAACGAACTGCAATGCGATTCTATGAAATATTGACAGGACTACAGTTATTTTCTTATTTGGATCTGATCGTCAGCTGAGCCCAGAATTATTAGATTTGGTTGCGATCGACACACGAGATAGATACCATCTTGAGTATGTAGATGAATCTCACTCATATCCATACCTACACTCTATTTCTTATTCTTATTTTCATTTATGATAGATTTGGTGATCGAAATACTATTTGTTTAATAATCACATCGTAGGTAGACAATTTTGGTGATTGAAAAATTACTTATCCATAAAGTAATGTCTTATTCTCTTCGCAGACAATTGAAAATAATATAGAACGAGAGAGGATATATTTTCAGTAATGCGCTTATACTTATATTTACGACTCTATGAATAACATAAAAAAAAGATCTTAAAAAAACTTTTAGATGCAGTACATTCAATTAGAGTGATAGTCGTGAATCACAGAAAATTTGGTTTTCTACGTTGTAGTTTATTTTTTATAAGAGCAAATGAAAAATTCTGCTCGAGTAAATGACTGGAGTCATACAGTCGAGTCAACGTTATTGAACTTTCGAGTCCGAGCCATTAAGAAAATGTGTTGCAAAGTATGAAACAACTGATTTTAAATAGTTTTGTGTACAAATCGTACTATTTTTATTTATACCAAAACAAAGATATGAAACAAAAACAAGTCATTTTTCACAATATACAATTTCTTATAATTTCCAATGCACACTTATTTTGTTCCCACTACGCTGAATTGTATAATTATCAATAACTATATCGAAAACGATTGTCTCTGCTAAAGCTCTAACCATGTTTTCATCTGCCATAGGAGTGATGAAGCATAGGTAGCAGAGATTAGGAATACGTGTCCTTTGATTCATAATAAATTTCATAAGTAATGGGACATCTGCATTTGGCATACAACCTACTTCAAGATATTTTATATGCGGACAAAGATTGATAAAAAATTCAATTTGTTGTTCTTCTATAACTTGGCCAAGTTTGACTTTTGTTATTTTGTTAATAGCTGATACTGATAGATGATTTTTGGTATCTTCAGTAGATAAAGATTCTAACTGAAGTATTGGTATAGATGACAGTTTTAATGATTCAATATTTGGCAACAAATGTAGAATATCGAGTAACATGTTAATAGACATGCTATTATTATTTATATCTAAATGAGTAAATTGAATTGCTTTAAAAGCGCATTTTAATTTCTTAATCAATCGCCAATTAAGTTCGGTAAATTTATAATCCCTAATAGTAAATTGTATAATACGATGATCAGTTTTTTCTTGATTAGAAATATAATTATCTTCTATCGAATTTTGTTTCGAATACGTGGCAGTATTCACATGTTCATGAAGATTGATCCATTCTTTTCTGATACAGAAAAGAACAAAAAGATATATGGAATCATTTTATGAATTTTTTTTCTAAATATACCTATATGGATGAATTAAAAAAACCATTTCTTTATTATATACGTGTAGCTCACGAAACCATTTTCGTTCAAACCAAAATGGTGAATTGAATCGATTAATGAATCCATCAGTTGAATCACTTGAGTTTGTCTTCATATTATTACCAATATCCTGAACAAAACTGAAGTAGAATTTTTCTAATTCAGGCATATATTTTTGAATTAATCGCTCCCAACGATTACCATCAAGATAAGCTTTATCCCAAGGTATGCCAATGTTCAATATTTGTAATTGAGAGGATATTTCCTTAATAAATACTTCAAATTCATCAAACGAAGCAAGCAATTCTTCAACACAAATGTATTTTAAATGTGGTACTTTCATCGATAGTTCGTTTTTGAAAATTTCATCTGATTTAATCAGTCGATGGCAAAATAGACGACGAAGGTGTGGTGTGTAATGAAGTAGAGAATTTAGTTGATTAAGAGTACAAAAATAATTAACACCCAGATATTCGATCGTACTAAATTTTTTATTGATCACATCTGGAATATTAATTTGTAAATCATCAGTACATGTTGATAGTTGGTTATATTTTAATGTAGATAAAGAAAAAAATAATGAATAAATATTCCCAAAATCATAATAATCATCAATCTTTATGGAAACGGTTAGTGAAAAGAGACGAGATAAAGTATTTAAATAAAAAAGAGTCGCGAATAGTTTCTCTGGTTTGATTCCATTGAGAATAATTGATTCAAGACGACGAGATGATGAATCAATAATACAATGATTAAAGAATGTATCAATCAGTGATGGATCAGTCCAATAATCAGTCAAATGAAGTGAAAGAATACGATGTGTATTTGGAATAATAACATGTTGACAACGACATTCGAGTAGAGATGTTGATTTTGAATCAAGGTTTATTCGAAGTAAAATTGGCGAAGAAATGATAAGATTTCGTAAACGATTATTAAGATTTGAGAATGGCTTAAGTATATCATAAGCATCAAGATATTCCAATATTTCGTACAAAATTTCATTTGATAAATTTTCTAAACAGGTATATGATGTACTAAAGAACAAAAAATTATACATTTAAACAAATGCGTTTATTGATTACATTTCGTCGCTCAATCCTGCTAAAGAAAGAAAAAATGAAAAACAAAACTAACTCTAATATTATTCTAATTTACTTCGTAGCTTTTTCGTTTCCACATCATTTGATTGACTTAAACTTAGTTGTCGTTTGATTTGGTTCATATTTATTCAGCAAGTAAATATAAATTGTAAAAGTTTTCTTAAGTATACAAAATTGACTGGGTATAATGTTATGAAGAAACTGTTTTTTTTCTCTTATTTGATATATACAAACGAACATGGATTATTCACTACTTTTTATTTATTATTCTTTGTTCTATCATTTTCTTTTCTGAAGAAAGATAAAAGAAAATATGTATTTGTGCTTAACACGTGTTATTATTTTCGACAAAAGATAACATCGTTTCTTTCTTTCTTTCCTTTTTAAGTTGGAAAAAACCCACAAAAGAATTAAACTAACGTTTCATCTTGATTCATATATTTTTCCAAACCCTTTCGTCATTATCATGTTTTCTTTCCAGTATCTTGGATTTTTTCTCGTTCGTTGATATATATATATATATATATATACTGACTGATTACGTTATTCTTCATATATATAAACAAAAGATCAGTAAAGTTATAGACGATGTTCGAAACAATAGATTGGCAGATACAAACAAATTTAGAAATAGCACGTTGAGATGATGAATCTTGACCATCAGTTTTATCATGTGACATTTGTTTAAACTGAATTTTAATAAATCAGACGGAAGTCAAAGAATCTAACTATGATTCAACAGAAAAGAAAAAAAAACGTTTCATATGTGATGCACACATTTCATCGCGAATGTGGAACGGAATCAGCTTGTACTACGAATATATAAATATATTCGAATCAAAAGTATTTTTTTTTTGTTCTGTTCTTTCAATATCTTAGTCAGTCACCATAGATAACATGTATAGAATGAGTATCATAGGATTGGCTTATAAAGTTATTTTGATTTTTTTAAATCAATATCATTTTAATATAGCACAGGCAGCGTGGCCGAGCGGTCTAAGGCGCCGGTTTAAGGCACCGG